TGGAGCCTGCTTGGGATTCTCTCTCTCTCTCTCTCTCTCTCTCTCTCTCTCTTTCTTTCTCTGATACTCCCCCACTCACATTCTCTTTCTCTCAAACATAAATAAACATTTTATTTTATTTTTTTTTTTTTCAACGTTTCTTATTTATTTTTGGGACAGAGAGAGACAGAGCATGAACGGGGGAGGGGCAGAGAGAGAGGGAGACACAGAATCGGAAACAGGCTCCAGGCTCCGAGCCATCAGCCCAGAGCCTGACGCGGGGCTCGAACTCACGGACCGCGAGATCGTGACCTGGCTGAAGTCGGACGCTCAACCGACTGCGCCACCCAGGCGCCCCATAAATAAACATTTTTAAAAAAAGAAAAAAATGATATCAGTTCTATATTAGATCTTACAGAAAATTAAGACAAAATAATTCCCAACTCATTCTATGAGAGCAGTATTATTATTAACAAAAGCAGATGTTACAAAAAAATAAAACTACACACCAATATCGTCCCATAAACATGGATGGAAAACTTCTTAACAAAATTTTATCAAATTGAATTTATCAGTATGTTAAAAGGATAATGCATCAGACCAAATGCAGTTTCTCCTAGGAATGTAAAGTTGATTTAACATTTGAAAATAAATTAACGTAGCTTACTATAACGAAAATCAAACATAAAATTATCTCAATAGATACAGAAAAGACATTTTATTAAATCCAACATCCATTCCTAAAATTACTCTAGCACAATAAGAATAGAAAGGAACTTAATCTCATACAGGGCATCTAAGAAAAATCTGTAGCTAAAATCATTTAATGGTGAAAGACTAAACATTTTTCCCCCTAAGGTCAGGAACAAGGCAAATATGTCTGCTCTCCCTACTTCTATTTGACTTTGTACTGAAGGTTCTATCCAGAACCTTCAGGCCAAAAAAGGAAATAAAAGACATACAGGTTATAAGGGAAAAAGTTGAAATGCGTTCATAGATGATATAGTCATCTATGTAGAAAATCAAATGGAATCTATAAAAATAACCCAATGGAACTAATAAGTTACTTTGGCCAGGTAGCAGGATAGAAGATGAGAATACAAAAATAAATTATATTTCTATATACCAGCAACAAATGATCATCAATTGAAATCTAAAAAATAAAATCATTTACAATAGCATCAACAAATACAGAAGTATTTACAGATTTATATGTGAATACAAAGGACCTAGAATAGTCAAAACAAGTTTGAAAAGGAACAAAGTTGGGGTTACACTAATTTTTTCAAGGCTCATGATAAAGTACACTAATCAAGAATATGACACGGTGACTGGAGTTAAAAAAAAAAAAATACTGTGGTATTGGCATCAGGAGAGAGAGACTGATGGAACAGAATGGAGGGTCCAGAAATAGACCCACCATAGTCAATTGATTTTTGACAAAAATGCAAAAGCATTTCATCAGAGAGATATGTTTTTTTTTAATAAGTGGTCCTGGAAAAATTGTTTATCTGCAAAATGAACTTTTGCAATATACAAAAATCAACCCAAAATGGATAAAAGACCTAAATGCAAAACCTAAAACTATAAACCTCTTAGAAGTAAATATGGGATAAGTTCTTTGTGATTGTGGGTTAAGCCAGTACAACACCAAAAGCACACACTATAAAAGAAAAAGATGATAAAATAGATTTTATCAAAATGAAGTTTCTGCTCTTCAAAAGACATTGTTAGGAAAATGAAAAGACAAGCCAAAGACTGGGAGAATATCTTTTCAAATCATACATCTGATATAGGTCTTATATCCAGAATATGTAAAGTACTTTCAAAAGTTAATGGAAAATAAATAACCCAGTAACAAAATGGGCAAAAGATTTGAACAGATACTTCTACCAAAGAATATTTGTAGGTAGAAAAGAAACATATGAAAAGATGTTCAATAGCATTAATTATTAGGGAAATGTAAATTAAAACCATAATGTGATGTCACTACACACCTTTAGAATGTCTAAAAGTTAGAAGACCCATACCAAGTGCTGGTGAGGCTATAGAGAAAGTATAAGTCTCATATACTGTTGGTGTGAAGACAAAATGGTACAATCACTTAGAAAACAGTTTGTCAGTTTCTTAAAAAGTTAAACATACATCTACCATAAGGTCTAGCCATTACACTTTATTTACTCAAAAAAGTATATGTTCATACAAAAGTTTACACATGAATATTCATAACAGCTTCATTGTAATAGTAACTGCAAACAGCCCAATGTCCAGTAACAAATGAATGGTGGTATATTCAACAAACTGTGGTATTCAACCAATTCAATAGATTGTGATATATTCATACAATGGAATAATATTTAGTACTAAAAAGGAATGAACTATTGATGATCCAACTATTGATGGATGAATCTCAAAATATGCTGGATAAAGGGGCCTGATAAAATGGTACATACTATCTGATTCCATTTATAGAAAATTGAATCTTTGGTGACCAAAAATATACCTGCCTGGGGATGTGGGTGGGAGAAGCAAGAAAAGGGGGGAGTTAAGGGATCTGAGAAAACTTTTGGGGGTAATGTTTATATTATCTTGGTTGTGGTGATGGTGTCACAGGTACATACATATGTGAACTTATCAAACTGTGCACTTTAAAAAAATTTTTCTTTTAAGTTTGAGAGAGACAGAGACAGCATGAGTGGGGGAAAGGCAGAGAGAGAGGGAGACAGAGAAGCCCAAGCTGGCTCTGTGCTGTCAGTGCAGAGTCTGATGTGGGGCTCAATCCCACAAACCATGAGATCATGGCCTGAGCCGAAACCAACTGACCCACCCAGGCACCCCCAAACTGTGCACTTTTTTTTTTTTAACGCTTATTTATTTTTGAGACAGAG